AGGAGGAGGAGGAGGAGGAGGATAAGGATTAGCACAGACGAGTGGTCCAGCCACCTCATCAGGTCGCTTTCCAATTATCCAATAGCCTTCGTCCCATCCCGCCACTGCGCCTGTGTTGTAAGGTCACAAGCCTCCAAGTTGTTCGTAGGGATGTCGTTGGAGGCCTTTCGGGGGTCTCTTGGGCGCCGTTGTGAAGCCTCTTGGGGGCCAGTTTGGGTAGTATCGGGGCGTCGTGGGGGCCTCTTGGGGCCTCCTTTGCGTCTCCCTGGGGCCTCTTGGGGGCGGTCTTGGGGGCCCCTTGGGCCGTCTTGGAATTAGGGGTCCAGATTTTTTTACAGAATTCTCAGAGTTGAGGGCTGAAGCTCAGGGGTTGAGCAATGGACCTGGGGACACTCCACTTCGTGCCACAGGGGCATGGTGGGGGACCTTGGGGGGAGGTGCGAAGTCCCTGTGGATGGGACGGGGTGGGCTCGGAGGGGCACCATAGGCTCCTCCACAACTGACGGTGGGCACCATAAGCCTACCCCCACCAAGGGAGGCACACCATATGTCCTCCACCCTTTTATCCCATTAGTTCAACACTCAGTGAATCTTTCAATTTTATACTTCAACCTCTCTCCACGAGGAGGTTACATGGGCACTGCAAGGGTGAAGCAGGAGGATGAGGATGAGGAGGAGGAGGAGGAGGAGGAGGAGGTGGAGAAGGCGTGGTTGGTGGACAGGATCCGCTGTCCGCTGCCTCGCCGTCTTGGCAAGAGGATTGGAAACAGGCATTCGCGCTCTTAAAACTGGAGGTCGCTCTCTGGGCCGCGCGTTTGGCAGTGAGGGGGAAAGAGGCGCAGGAGGTGAAGTGGAGGAATGGACGCAGGACGGCGTGGAAGAATGGAGGTGGTATTTCGACCCGTCTCCCTCGCCCCCCGCATCTTCCAGCCAGCGTCGCGCTCGCCAGCCTCCCGCGTGGAGAGGCGCGGGCGAGATTTTGGCCCGAGAGCCCTCCCACCGCTGCAGCTTCGAGCCGGTTGCTTTCGAGGATGGCGCGGCAGCTGGCAGGCAAGGAGAAGAAGGAGACGCCCGCCCAGAAGAGGGCCCGCAAGCAGAGCAACGCGGAGGTCCTCCCATGGGCAGGGCCTCTCGCCTCCACTTGCTCTTCGCTTGCTGGCTCTCCCCCTCCTCCTCCTCCTCCTCCTCCTCCTCCTCCTCCTCCTCCTCCTCCTCCTCCTCCTCCTGCTCCTCCGTTGCCATTTTGGCTCAAGGTGGGGACAGGCCCCATTCGAGTGAGGCTGCCTCTCTTCCGAGGCTTTCCTGGAGTCAAATCCAGGCGGACACTTTCCCCGCTGGCGCGCTCGTGCCCGAGCCGTCGGCCTCCCTCGCAGCTTGCCGCAATGCCTGAAGTTGGAGAGGGTATCGCGCAGATCCTCGAGCAGCTCGGGGGGATCACAGGGCGTTCGACCAGCATCGAATCAGCGCTCCCTGGCATTCACGAGCTTCGCGTCTCGCTCACTGCCCAGGAGACCGCCATGGAAGGCATCAACAAGCGCACCGGCGTGCTTGAGGCGAACATTCGTGCTTCGTCCGAAGCTGGTGCTTTCGCTGCCCTTCGCACCGATCTCGAGAGCCGCATTGCTGCTATTGAGACATCATCGACTCAGAGCTCAGCTGGGGATTCCTCGTCAGGTCCGCCTGCTTCGCGTCGAAGGTTGTCGGCACCACCGAGTCAGGTTAATTCGCGTATTGGAGATGAGCATGGTCCCTGCAAGGTATGGACTGGCGGCTTCACGAGACCCATGCTAGCGACCATCATGGAGGCGCATGGTCGCACTCTATTCGGTCTTCTCCCTTCTCACCTCCGCCAGGCTGGTGTGAGCATCAAAGCCCACAACCTCGCCAAGAGCTACTCTATCACGTTCAGCAGCTCGCTCGATGCCTCCTCGTTCGTTGACCACGGCAGGGCCCACGGCATCCTGTGGCAAGACAGCGTGTCTGGCTCCCGCATCCCCCTCCGCTGCAGGAAGGATGCTCCCAGCACGGTCAGGCAGAAGAACCAGGTCCTGGGCAAAATCTGGCAGGCAGTCAATACCCATCTGCGACAAGCAGGCACATGGAATGAGCAGCGCTTCGAACTCGGTGTCAACGGCTTCAGGGGTATCCTCTTCATCGCCGTCAGCGAGGTTGATCATGAGTTGTTCACAGTCAAGGATGGGGACTACGGCCAGTACGAGATCGTTCACTCCCCCGACGGCACCGCCAAGTTCGACATCTCGCCTGAGCAGGCGGGCTCCATCATAGCGACAGCCCGTCCCAGCTAGGGGTCTCCCACGCCGTTCCGATCAGGTTCTACATTTTCGTCAGGGGCGCCTGGTATGAGGGTTCCATACCAGCCATGCATTTCCACCTCCGTGTCGAGCTCTTCCTCTTCCGCGTCTGCGGGCTCTTCCTCCACCTCGTCCTGGTCTTCCGCGCCGTCTGGGCCCATGAGGTTCCCGTCTTCGGCTGCGCCCGAGTCTTTCCGCCCTATCCCTAGATTCTGGACACACTCACCATACGTAGTCAAGGCACATATCAGTTTTGTTTCCTGGAGCGCTCGGTCGCTCTTCGGGGGGCTCACCACACGTCTGGATACCGTCAGAAGAAAAATGTCACGCTTAGTAACATATATCCAGAAATACCATGTCGTGCGCATCCAGGAGGCCAGGGGCTCTTTTCTCGACCTACAGAGAGTCTGCTCCGAAGTGTACGACTCATGGGGTATTGGGTCTTTCTTCGAAGTCAGGGCTGCTGGATGCGTACTTTTTTTTTTTTGTTCCATCCGTCGCTCCGCGACGATTTCAAGTACTGCCGATACGCCGAATTAGTCCAGGGTCGCATCCATTCTCTCACTCTCGCTGGTCCCAGAGGCACTCTTCAGACCTCTAACATTCATCTCGATCCTGCTCTCCCTCTCAGTGAACAGAAGCGTCAGCTCATGATTCTCCGTCGTACTCTCCTACCCGCCCAAGCTGTTGCAAGTTTCGTGCTTGGGGACTTCCATTTCCCCAGTCAAGGCGAAGGGTCGTTTCACGTCAGTGGTGTCGCCAATTATTCCAGCAATGATGCTGCTGCTTTCTTCTCCCTGCACTTCGGGGACTTGTGTAAAGTGAGCATGAGCCGCATCGACAGAATATACTCAAACATATTCAGCGCTATCCTCCTCGAGCTCCACCCCAAGTCTCTCACCCTCGTTCCGATCTCGAAAGCAGGACAGCTCTCGGATCACGCTCCGGCGTGCCTCGCATTATCCCCTGGTGGCAAGATGGGCTTCAGAGTTCCTGCATGGGTCCCCAAGCACTCGCACTTCCCGATCTGTGTCCAGGAACTGCTCGACGCTGTTGGCCCGCTCGACATTGACCCCGCCATGCACCACGCTCAGATGAAGGATATCCTTGTTCAGGCGAGTAAGAACGCCCTCCAGCATAGCATCGAGCAGGCCAACAAATCCGTCGAGGAAAAGATTGCCTGGACTCTCGCAGCCCTGCGTGGCACTCTGAGAGGTCTTCTGTGGCTTGTTCGCAAGGCCCTGCGCGCGCACCCGCTGCTCGCCAAGTTTCTCTGCCCGCTGTCTGGCCTTTTGATTGATATGCGCGCGTTTCACTCTCACCTGACTGATCTCAAGAATGAGCACATCCAGAAGCAGATGATTGATATTGAGCAGCAGCCCATATCCGACCAGCGCAAGCAAGAAGCGAAGATAAAACTCTACAGATATCAGTCAGCATGGGGGCGGAAGCACCGCAGGATTTCTCTTACTGGCGTGTCCGACCCGACTGGCAAGGCCATTACCGAGCCTGAGCAGGTAGCGATGCATCTTGCCGACCACTGGGGCAAGGTTCATCAAGGTATTCCTGGATCTGTCGAGGACCGACAACAGCTGCGTGAGTTTGTCCAGACCTGCCCCCCCCCAACATCTTCTGGAAGCTTGAGCGTCTGGAATTTGGGGAGTTGATTTCCCGTACCGGGGATTCGCGCCCTGGGCCCGACGGCATACCCTATGCCTGCTGTGCAAAGGGGGTGCAGCCGTTGCCGACTCCTTGTGCGCTCCCTACTCCGTCCTGCTCGAGCAGGGCTACCTTCCGCCGAAGTTTAATCGGGCAATGGCCGTTTTCCTTGCCAAGGGCAGCGACCCAGACGACACCTCCTCCCAGATCATACGTAAGCCTGAAACAACTAGACCTATTACCCTCTCCAACTCTGACAACAAGCTCATCTCCCTTGCCATCAACAGACCTCTTTCCCAGATTGCCTCCCAAACTGTTCTTGTCAACCAGCGTGGGTTTATTCCTGGGAGATACATGAACGAAAACATCATCGACCTCGAGAGTCGGGCAGTTATGTGGCATGCTAAGTCTGGGCACGCGCATGCTGGTGTGCTATACTATGACGTGCGGTCCGCTTTCCCCAGCCTCTTGCACGATATGATCTTCTGGGCCCTAACCTGCATGGGGCTCCCGTCAAACATCCTGAGGTGTATTCAGGCCCTGTACACGGACGTCACCGTCGAAATCAATTTCTGCGGGCTCCATGGGCACTCCTTCCTGGCTTCTCGTGGGATCAAACAAGGCCCCCCCTGTCAGGGACTATCTTTTGCATCGCCTTCGATCCGATTTTACGCCACATGCTTACGAGGATCCCTAGTGGCGTGTCTTGGTTGACTGCATTTGCAGACGACGTCGGCGTCGCTGCCGCTGACATCTTCAGTACCTTTAAAGCTCTGGTTCCGTGCTGGCATCTCGCTGGCGCTGCTGCTGGTCTGCATATTCATCTGCCCAAGACGATTCTCGTGACCCTCGCCAGCCTCAGCGTCGCCGAATGCCAGCAGCTCATGCGCCAGATAGGAGTTCGCCCAGACAACCTCAATTTCGAGCATCTTGGGAAGTACTTAGGGATATTCCTTGGGAACGATGGGTGGAATCTCTCATGGCTCGCCCCACCCAGCAAGTGCATTTCGAGGGCGCAGGATGTCAAAAGTCTCGGCCTCGGCCTTTGCAAGTCCATCGTGTGCTTCAACCTTCCCGCCTTCTCGGTCCCCTCCCATGTGGTGCAGTTTTACCCGCCCCCGAAAGCCGCGTTCTCGGCCGTCAGAAAAGCCCAGCAGAGTCTGACGAACGCCCCGAACAATAGCCTGTCCCAGGGGATCCTCCAGAATCTCAAGGAGTGGGGCTTCCCGATGCAGGCCCGCGCTCTCGCGCCAGCTGCCCGAGCAGCCATGTATCGCACTGCAGTCATGTCCGCGGCGTTCTACCACGCCAAATCAGTCATCGAGAACGACGATGATGACTCTATTTTGTGTTGGCAGCGAAATACTGTGCATCAGGAGTCCTCCATCTTCCATCTCATCTCCAACTTCAACACTCTGTCCCAGATCCCGACCATGCCTGTCTTCGGAGCTTCCAGATTCCAGAGTCGATCTGAGTCCGCCCTGAGAGCCCTTTCTTCTCCCCCCCTCCGCTCTGTCCTTCGTGATCGTCTGTGCAAATTCGGCGTGGTTCCCACTCCCGACCAGATTGACCTCTTGTTTGTCGCTCTCAAGCGTGTCTCTCGTATTGCTCCCACTTGTGTGTCCAGCAGTGTCGTTCGCACTTTATGTAGTGCCTGTGCACCGCCCGCCGATTTCGAGGTGCCACCGAACCGTGTCGATTCTGCCACCAAGCCAGTGCAGATAGTATGCTCCACACTCTAGTTTGTGCGTGCACGGCCCATATTCTGTCAATGCTTCCTAATATTCCCCCGACTTCCGTACTCACACAGCGGGTGCGCGTGCGTCGGTCTTCAGTCTTTTACCTCTCAGTGATGTGCAGCTCCTCTCTGTCGCCTTGTATCATGACATCTGTTGCACAGCATACCATGAATTAAGACACTGGCCTCGGACGAGCCCGCTCGCCGAGCGGGCTCGGCTTCTCAACTTCGGCGTGGCTCGCATCCGCCAGCTGCGCAGGCGGGCCCCGCCTCTTTTCTCTGCTGCCCTTGCTGATGCAGGCTGAGCCTTGGAGGGAGCCGTCGTCCCGCCGTCGTCGGTCGTCCCCTGGGGCTGTGCACTCCTCCTCCTCCTCCTGCTCCTCCTCCTCTTACTCCCTCCTCCTCCTCCTCCTCCTCCTCCTCCTCCTCCTCCTCCTCCTCCTCCTCCTCCTCCTCCCCCTCCCCCTCCTCCCCCTTCTCCTCCTCCTCATCCACCTTCCTCTCCCTTCTCCCTCCTCCCCCTTCCTCTTGCTTCTCCCTCTCCCCTCTCCTACTCCTTGCAGGCGGGGCCTGTCGCGATTCTCGCAGTGCCTCGATTGGTGTCTTGCGGTGGGGCTCTTCAAGTTTATTTCATAGCGTTCTAAGGCCCCCAAAGGAGAGTTTTTGGAGGGAGTCTTTGCCACGCTCCGCTGGGGGACGTCCATTGCGTGGAAGAGCAGATTGACAGTGTGTATTAATATGAACCATCAGAACGGGAGTCTTTGCCACGCGCCTCCCAGGGGACGTCCACTGCATGGTGGTGTATGTAGGGTGTGTATTTTAGACGCTTCGCGAGATCCCACCAGCCCACCCAGAAACGATGCTCAGACGAGTTTCCCAGATCAGGGGATTTGGGGGAGCACGCAGTGGAATTAGGGGTGGCGGAAGCAGTCATACCCAAAGAGAGGGAGAATGGAGGAGGAATCGGATGAGGAGGGGGAGGGGGCAAGCCAGGTGCGCTCGCGTCACATCTGACGTCCTACCCCTTCTCTCATCCCTTACCATGGCGTAGATCTCCTCTCTACTCTTCGCACAGTCGGATCTCGAGCAGGGCAATGATCGCGAGAGGGTGCGCGATACATTGTAGAGCACAACGTAGCAGGGCGTACAAGAGCACAGCAGAGCGTAGTATGTCATACCATGGCGTGGCGTTGCGTAGTGAAGAATTGCAGCACAAAACGATGCAGCGCAAATAATGGCATCGCACAGCGGTAGTGAACAGAACATGTTATAGCATGGCGTTGAAGATCAAAGCGTAGCATGGCATAGCATGGCGTCGCACTGCGTAATATCCTAGCATGGCAGCTGGAGGCATGGCATCGCACAGCGGAGCACCACATAGCATTGCATTGCATGCCGTGGCAAGGCATTGGAAATAATGACGCCAGCGCTGCAGCGGGAGCCCGATTCGGAACGAGCGGAAACGCGGAAATGATGCCAGCGCTGCAGGGGGAGCACGATTCGGAACAAGCGGAAGCGCGGAAATGAAGCCAGTGCTGCAGCGGGACCACGATTCGGCACGAGCGGAAACCCGAAAATGAGGCCAGCGCTTCAGCGGTAGCAACAATTTGAAACAAATCAGCGAAAATACAACTCTCGGGAATCTTGTGTGTAAACAAAAAGTACGCGGAGGGGGGGTGGCGAATATCTTCCGGACGTCATCAGGGGAGAGAAGAAAGTAGTATTGGACGAGGACTAGAACGAGGACGAGGACGAGGACGAGCAGAAAGACCAGAGGTCTCTTGGATGCCTCTCGGGGTCTCTGCGGATGTCTATTGAGAGCTTCGTGAGATCCTCTTTGGGCGACTTGCGCATCGCTGCGGCCGCGCTGGCGCGCGCAAGCTCGCGCGCAGAGCGGTCTGCTAGGTTGGCGCGGCCGACGCGGCCCCGGTGGCGCTGACCGCTGGGGATTGCCCAGCGCGTCTCGCAGACCGTTCTGACGCGCGGGCGTTTCAGTGCGAATCGGTGACTCGGGCGGGCTCGGTATGCTTGTGACGTCGACAACGGCGGACACGATGATAATCGCAACGATGATGGTGACGATGATAACGATGAGAACGGCAAGGCCAATGACAGCGCCGATGTTGGCCACGCCGATGACGATGATGGTGTCCACGCGTCGGCGATGAAGGTCGTGGATGGATGCCGACGCGCTCGGGTGGCCCGCATGTTAGTATTTGACAGGGATGGTGCCCCCCCTAGCAAGTGCGCAGTGGCGTTCGAATGGGTTCGACATGCGCGCGACGCCCGCGTGGTTTCATGTGTCACAACTGCCGAGACAAACCGATGGTTTCCATGAAGATTCGCAAGAGCGCAGATTTTTTTGAAAAGCCATGTTGCGATATCAGTGGTTTTCCGAAGCATCCTGTGGTGTTGGGTCCGCGTCTTGAAGAGACAGCGCCCCACGTCTCCTCTCTTCTCCTCTCCTCCTCCTTCCCCTCGTTACATTTGCCCTCCGCATCAGTCAGGCAATTCGACACACGCCGCCTTGTTAATTTTGGCACACCCCTCACGCGTTTCGTGGCCCCATCGGTAGCTTCACCTAAGGCCCCAGTGACAATGTTCGCATGTGACCGCCCTACCAATTTCAGCACACCCCTCATACGCTTCATGGCCACAGGCAGCTCCACCTAAGGAATCCTAAGGCTCTAGAGGCCATGTTCACATGTTGCCGCCACGCTCATTTCGGCACACCCCTCACGCGTTTCGTGGCCCCATCGGGAGATCCACCCTGGAAACGCTTTTGGGTAGTTTGGGGGCGATTTTCGGGGCCTCTTGGGCCTTCTCGGACGCTCCGATACCCGAAGAACCGAGCAACCATGAATCATACAACCACCATTTGGAAATCAATGTTTTTACGTTTGAAGGGCATCCAGGGGGGGATCTTTGGGCCGTCTTCGGGCGTCTGGTGGGCGTCTGCGGCTCTCGCGGGGCCATTTGGCCACCCTCCTTACCGCTTGGGCCCGCCAGGTGGGCCCAGCAGGGACATCCAGGAGGTTTAGAATCAGTCCTGGGGGGCAATCCTAGGGGAACAGACACTGACATAAACGTAAAAACTCCGAGGTCCGCGCGGATTCCTCGGATCGGCGCTGGGACCCCCTGGCGGCGCCTCCGGCGCCGCC